CGTGGTCCATCGTATATTATTATGCAGCGTGTTTCTAAACTCAGGGTATATATCGTGAGGGTAGCTCCGGGGGATTATTTGTAGACGAAAACTAATAACATTTTGGTTTTCGGCGCTTTACTAAGGCGTTATTCGGCAACAAAGCGCAAATCCACCGTGAATCATCGTTTTGAAAATTTATATCTCCCCTCTTACTTGGGCTGGAGAAACGGAAATGATGGTAATCAATTGACCATTTAATGCACAATGATCTGAAAAACAATAATTTTTTATCATCATGGCCTAGCGAGCAAACGCGCAATGAATTTCACCGCGGCATAAAAATCATTTCATTCCAACACGCAATGTGAACCTGAAAATTAGAGTCGACGTCAAAATTCATATCTCTACTCTCATGTAATATTAAGGGATAAAATTGATTGTGATCGATTGGAAATTCAATGCAATCATCACTCCGCCTTGAATGAGAAAGGGGATGTAATTTCTCCATCGAGAAAAACGTTTGATGGCAGTTATTTTTTATTGCTTACTCATAATACCATGGGGGGATGAAAATTTTATTACAGTTTTAGTCTTTCAATGACCCCTCCCTGAACTACCGTTACCACATCTATGATGAGTTTTGGGACACCTTGCATACGTTAAAAATATTACGAGTTTAAGCTCGAAAAAGCCTTTCACGAAAAATCATCAGTACAAGATCAAAATTTATGGACGAATGAGGAGGAAATTTCATATTGTCAATTATTACTAGTCATTTAATTGTTTCAATTACCTATATACTGGCACTGTTTAGAATTTTAAACTTAAAAAAATGCAATAAATGCATAACTTTCGTTAATTTTTGAAAATTTATCAAATATGGATTGATTTATGACGTGCAACAAAATTGATTCGATCCGAGTAGCGCTTCATTATTCAAAAGTTATATTTGTATTTTTTTCCAGAAATATGTACGTTTTTCATTCGAATATGATGTCTTAAGGAGTTTTCATAACGGCATTTTTTCTCGTAAATGAGAGATTAATTATTCATTATTTACGTTCTGATGGCAGTTCCATTGTGTTATCTGTCCAGCATTTTGTCGGTCCACTTTGATTAGCTGTTTTTAATGCGATTTCACATCGCTCTGACTACTTTTTCCGCTTGGATTCGCGACGTTGACCAAGACTTTGAATGGATGAGTCTCGCCATTCTCCCCTACCGGGAAGGAAATATAGCACGAGGCGATCGGGTCTTTAACCATGTCCGAATTTTATCGTTAACTTGTTCTTGTTCCACTCTCATGTCTTCACTCAATTGATCATTTGTTTTCTTTTTCAATGTAACGTGACTTTGGCTTTCTAGTAATTTTTGATCCAATTTTTTTAACCAAATTGAAGGTATGTACTCGACTATATTCCCATTTTATTATGAAAAAAATAGGATCGTATCAAAAGGCATAATCAAAGAACATCGTTCCGCAGTCGAATATAATTTTACGTTTATGAATTGAATAGTCACAGTAAATTTATGACGTAGGGGCAGTGTACGTTCTCGTATATACGTTATTCATCCTTTTTTTTATCAATCATTGTTAATTATTTATATTATGTCAAGTTGGGAAGTGATTTCAAAATTTTGCAATAGAATGAAATTACTCGATGATAGCATTTTTCCAGTTGCTCACAATTAATTTTCTGATTTCAATCCATATCTGAACCTATAGAAAAAGCCCATCATCTTCATCTCAATCAATTGCTAAATTACTGAAATACTCATTACATTCGAGACTCTGTAGTGAAAAGAAATTTAGTTGAAGCCTAACTATGACAAGTAAGAAACAATAGGCATAACGTTTCCAACCCGCACACACTTGAGAAGAGACATTTACAACTTGTTTCACCATAATAAATGTCATCTGCTACAAAATAATAATAATATACACTGGTTATACAATGACATTTTATCTACTATAACGTCTTATTCCTATCTTGTTCTTCTGCATTAACTAACTAACTGTGCGAATTTTAATTCATTTTACAATTGTTGATGTTTGATAATTCATTTTTCATTAGTGATGTTTCATAGGTAAATGAATTTCTTTGTTATTTGTTACTTAGAACGCATAATAATACTGGCTATTACGGTCAATGGTAAAACATTTCTTTGTTCTTAGAATATAATATTTTTATTATCATTTCGGTGATTTCACACATACGTCTAACGTTAAATACTCAACGATAGTGATTCTTTCAACTATTTTGTATTCGAATGTTGTTTCCCTCTTTATGGTTTTTGTCGTTTGTTTCTCTATTCTCATCGTACATATTTTATATACATGTATTATAGAGTTATATAAATCTTGACCATTGTATATTTTCCTCCCGATTCACCTTTCAATATTTTCTTTCCGTTATTTTATTCATTGTGTAACGGAGTTTATCGAATTTCTCAACATTTAATAATTGTTATCAAAAAGCAAATGTATATTGCACTATTCTACATATATATAATATGTATAGATCAGTTGTCCTCGTTTATTGAATAGAATCGACCATTTTCTATATCGCCTTATACCCTTGTTTCTTTAGTACTTTTTGTATCATGTTTTTGAGCGGTTTCACCAAATACCGACCTACAATATTGCCTCCAAAGTTTTAGTATTATTTTTATTTCATCCTCCTATCGTAAAAAGGAGAAAGGAAATCGATCTCGAAATAGAGGGGGATATGTTTTCCATGGCGAGGTGTGTATATTAATTTTCGTGTCGAGGGACCTGCAAAACGCCACGAAATACGGTCAGGAAATATCAATAGTACCAACAATTTTGAGACATTATATCATGTCTGTATTTAGTGGAATCGCTCTTTTATATTTCGTGCGAGGTCGTAGGTTTTTTTTTATGTTTAAACGTCTCTCCTTTGGTTCGTTGGATCAGCTAAGATCGTTAATATTTTTTCGTTCATTTCGTTTGCATTTTTATTAATTTTTTCAACTACTTTTCCTAATTTTGCAGTCAACGATTTTGCTACGTGCCTATCTAATAAATGGCATTTTTTTACGCAGAACGCTGTCAGAAATTTCTGAAGTGCACGAAATACTTGAATAATTATTTGTAGTAACGAACCTTCGAGGTATCTTGAATAGTACGAAAATACGGAATATCTGCAGTAGGGAATACATTAGTTTTCAAATTTATCCTCGATAAATAACATATTAGCTCCTATTTTGCAAAAACTATAAATTAGTCGAAACAATTTTAATAATTTCACAAAATTATTGATTCAGCTCCTCAGAATGATTTTTCAGAAAATGTCTAACAGCGTTGTACCTGTATTTAATAGTAATGGCCCGAGACCTCCACAATTAACGAATATTTCTCGAAACCTTCGTTGCGTTTTGTAGACTAAAAATCCCGAGAGATTTTTCTGCAAAATGTACACACTCATTTATTTGCAGGGAAACTTGAGGAGAATTCAATTAATTTTGAAGGTCGAGTGGTATTCGGATGATTATTTTTGACATTCGGATGCAGCCAAGTAGAGTATCACGACATTTGAGTTTTTTTATTCATATTTCTTTTCTACTACCATTACGGTTTTATAGGCTCCCCATTTGTCTGCCTTCCTCTCCCAGTTCTCTCTTCTGATTTTTTCTGCGTTACCATGGGCCGTCTTACTTTTAACTGTACCCCATTCGGGCTGGGACTGCACGAGAAACCATGGAAAAGCCCAGTCGTACAGCCGGCCAATTGTGCAGAGCCCTAATGTGCTCTTCTGTCACACTGACTAGAGTGGTACATTAGGCCGCTACACCGTGCCTACCTTCCGAAGTTTTTGGGTGAAGGTGTTCCTAAGCGGTCACCCATCCAAGTACTAACCGCGCTAAACGCAGCTGCACTCGGATGTCTCCCGGGGCAACAATTAACTCACCCAACCATTACGGTCGGTACATTTGACAGTTATTTGGTGAAAGAAATAATTCCAAATACTGATCGGGATGATGATTGACCATAATCCGATTGCCAAAATTGATCATCAATAATTAATAATAAAGGAGAAGATTTTAAAAACAGTGAGATTCTCCTGAAGAGGTGAAAAAACATCATCACCATTCATCATTTTGGCAATATGTATACAACACTTTCTTCCATAATTGCAAAAATTGTCAGTAAAAAAAAAATAATACAAAAATTTTCAGAAAAATTGTCAAAGATACTATTTAATTTTGAGGAGACTTGTTTCAATATGAGATTGGTTTGTAAAGGTATTTAAAAAAGTGCGATAGGGATCAATTTATATTTTTTCAAAGATCGCGGACGTTCATTTAATTTTCAAATAAAAAAATATTCCCCCATATACGCATACACACACATATATATATATATATATATATATATATATATATATATATGTATATGTATGTGTATATGTATGTATTTATATTTATTGATATGCAGGATGTTTTCGAACTACTAATAAATATTGCATCCAGTGATAGATTTGAGTCCCCTGAATACAGGAGAAAGTAAAAAAATGATTAATTCAATATTTTTTAAATTATTACCGTTTAGTATAGAACAATTAGGAGCGTCTTTTTTGCCGCAACAAAATGGGTAGAGAAAGAAAGGCTAGTGACGTGAAGGTAAGTATGGTACACTTCACTAGATGATAAAGGGAGAGTTTCATGTGATTTAGCGATATGAGTTTGTGAATCCTCGAAATGAAAGCAAGTAAAATACACACTTCCAACTGGTCATTATTATATATTAACAATTCAAAAACTATAGAATTATCGATGTTTTTCGCATTTTTCCCGCATTCAGAGGACTCAAATCTATCTCTGGACGCGAGATTTATTGGTAGTTTAAAAATACACTGTATATATTTATATAAACGATCAAAAATTCATTGTAAAACGTGAGAATAAATAATGAATTTGCGAAAAGCTATGCTTACGAAATTTTCAGTATATGCAAAAAATACTTTAAAAAATTGAAAAATTTAATTACTGTTCCATTTAATCAGTGATTTAAGATTTGAGTAATCATTCGAAAAGAGTATATTTATTTCGGGGTCCATTGATATGACTTTAATCTGTATTGATGACCACTTCTTTGCGATTTTCACAGCTATTATTAATGATTATGGTAATTCATAATGATTACTGGTAAATATATTAAATATCAATATTGGTTATAGATTGCCCGGATTTCTTTGTTAATACATATCTTTCTCTTTTATGTTCTCTTTTGATGAGAACTTGTCGCGGCATTATGATTTATTCCTTTTCGAAATGAGGTCATCATCACTGGCTTCGACATCAGCTTCCATCCCTCTTTCACCCTCGTCAAGCTGTCTCATATTACCTTCCTCAGTATCAATACTGCTTGTTGGAGTTATCTGCTCCATTGTCGTAGGAGTTACCGTTGTTGATGTTGTTATTGGTATTGTCACTGATAGGGTTGTGACTTCCCCACCATTTTCAAAACTAATACCATTACGATTAGCCTTATTTATAGGCTCAGGTGAAGCAGACTCCTCGCTGCTAGGTGAACCTGGGGATGATACTATCACCTGTCGACAAATTATGCCATTTCCTTCTCTTGAGATATGTAATCAGTATTTTTTAGCGTCATGTTTACTATTACATTGTTAAAGTTTCATTTTAAAGGAATTTTCTAGATAATTTACTAGAAAAGTGATAAAAAATAGTTCAAATTGATTTACTTCCTGTTAATAATGATTGCATCATAACAATGAGTGATACTAGGGAAAATTATTCAGGGGGTTCCTTATAACGGGGAATTTCGTATAGAAAAGTGTTTGTAATATTTTATCACTCCGATACTGACTGTTCAAAATGAATCTTCAACAATGTGAACCGTGTTAATCTTATGTATTGATGGTTCGTGATACATGAATTGCAAATGAAAAAAAATAAAATGAAAATATAGACACAATTGTACTCTTTCCGTTCTGCCAATGATGAATATAACTCGAAAACGACTCATACTACTAATTAATCGAAGGATAATCGAAATTGAAATTCAGAGAATTCAATTGAAGAACAAAAAACAAGAAGGATTGTACCTGTGCGAGAAGCGTTGTCTCTGTGCTGTCAGCGATTTGGAACAGTCGGCAATTTGCGTTTGCTCTGAATAAAGTGCGAAAAAAAATGAAAAGAATGGCAATTAAAAATTGATGACGCTACATCTGTTTTTTGCTTGTTTTTAAGTGAATGATCACAATTGTAGATAATGAAGAATAAATTATAGAATGAAACTGAAAATGAATACCCGATTTCAACATCAAAGAAATCAAGAGCAATTGCGTCCAAGATATTATTGTCAAAAATAGAGAAAAACAGTGCATTAATATTATGGCTAAATGCTTGAAAATCAATCAGATGATATGAATCAATGGTAATCATGCAGAAATGGATAAATTTATGAACAATGCAATTATTCAAATTAATTTTGTGATTAAGTCAAAAATACTAAATTTTACTCGCCAATGCAAATTCAACCTGATAGATTCATAGTTATCAATGGAAAAATAACTGTCCATTTCTTCTAATTTCACTTAATCAAAATTTCAATTTGAATATGAATAATAATGATTGATGAGAGTTGAAGATAAGCATAAAATACCTGACGTGGCTTGACCGGCGGCGGTGGACGAATGGTAATACCGAATGGGTTGGTGTCTCCTGTTGTGGTTGACGTGGGGGGTTGATGATGAAGTGAGGGTTGCTGCTGCCAGAGCAGTCCGGCTCGCGGCAATGTGGGCTGATGAGGGGGCAATTGATGAGATGACTGAGGGGAGGATTGATGAGACTGCTGGAGCTGATGATTGGCCAGTCCTACTTGCGAAACTCGAGTAATTGTTGAACCGATTGAAGAAATCTTCCGAACTGTCTGTGAAATACATAGCTGATTACTCAGTTCTTGAATTCTATCAACTAATGATTTGATTGGGGCGATAGAGTTTTGCTATTGTTTCCGAATGGAAGCTTTGTGATCGTTGATTTTGACGATCTTCTAATTTTACTTGGAAATAACGTATAATATCATGAAACGTGAAGATATATTTTTCGAAAATGTGTGTATGTATGTCCAGATGTGTTCGCGAATTTTTCGAAATTTTTTTAGAAATCTTCACAGAAAAAGGACTACCGTCATGGCATCGGTTTCTGCCAGGGACCCATCTGTATAGATTTGTTCCCAAGGAACCTTGGGAACACTGTATAGATATTTTGTTAATAAAAATTATGTCTTCATATTTCATAACATTCTGTAGCATTTCTTATCATTTAGAAAATATAAAAATCCATCAAATGCAAAGCTTTTATCCCAAAGAAAAAGACTAATAACGGAAAAAGTAATGGTGACATGCTTTCAGTCGGATAAGCTCGAACCCCTGCGTGTTTCTTTAATACAGTAAATTCAAAGAGCTCATTTTAAAATTAAGACTTTCAAGTAATTAATTGAAGGAATAAGATAAGTCATGAGAATTTCGTCGAAAACATTACCTGACTTAACTGGCCATATTTCTAGTAGATATTTGAGGACTGCTATTGGCTGTTGGAAGTCGAGAGGAGGACTCGCATCTTCGGCATGCAGCATTAGAACTGGACCAAAACAAACTGCCAAGTTTGCTGGTGACATTTTATTGCATTGAGAGATGACCAAAGCGAGGTGATCTAATAGGTAGATGAGTGTACACTGGAAGGAAAATCGACACTATAATTTCTCCTTTAGTTGTAACCTGAGGAAGATTGATCAAATTTGCCATTCATAATCTAAGAAATCAATTCCATGGAACGGCAAAATAGAAACGAATTGAGTTATTGTGAACTTCTTCTGAGGTATTGTAACAATTTATTTCGTCTTCATTCAACACTGAGATGATGAACAATTCACATTATATACACGTTTTACCATTCTTGTATGAAATATTTCTTTAATTTTTATTTACTCACCCTATTAACTTTAGGCAGGCAATCAAGAATACTAAACATAAGTTTAGCATTTCCCTGAGGATCGTCCGGCAAACAAACTGCCAAGGCGTCGACCATCATTTGGTAGAGGCACTTGGTGAAAAGCGGTTCTGGCAATTCTCTTAAATAATCCTTCAGTACCCCAGTTATGACATTAATATCTGGGACATTATCAGGTGATAGGTCGACCGATCTTGCATTGCGTTCGAACGCTTCCCGGAGGATTCTTTTTTTCGTTGCTGATCCGCAGAGTCTATATAAGCCTGCAAAAGATTCTTTTTACTACTACAGCTACTCAAAGTAGAAGATGGGAGAACAAAAATACAAGATGACCCTCTCAATTATACAATATCTTCTGAGCTAGTAATGAGATTCCAGTAAATTTTTGACGTTATTCTAAACAGCAAGAAAAGGGACTTCGAAAACATATAACCCAATTCCAAATCCGAAATGAAAAAAATGCTACGTTTTCGATTGCCCTGCCAATTTTTGTTTCGAAAAAGTTATGATTTTTCAAAAAAATTCACTTTTTCCACATGAATTTTGATTCTTTGAGAAACAGGTGAAATAAATGAATTTAATCATTAGGAATAGAATTTTCGTTCTCACACATTGGAAAGTAATTGAAAAAACTTCAAACCGAGCGCAATTGAACTCAATTTATTCAATTTTTAGAGCTGTTATGGCGAAATCAAATTTTTTTCCATCTGCAATTACTCGAAAACTTTATTTTTTTTATCTGAAATTTTAGGAGTAACTTGGGGACATAAGTACCATTATTTGGACCAACGGACAGTCATTATTTTGCAGTCTTCCTTCGTTAAACGGATGATTTTTGTTCGAAAAATTCGTTTCTGGGAACAACGCGTAAATGACAACGAAAAAAAAAAATGACTAGCAATAACTGAAAAAAAGAGGTATTTCAAGCCATATTTCAATTGAGAACATATAACAGTCCACCTGAACGTGTTACAATGAGCGAGGCGACACTTGACCCATTGCTTCGGGTTCTCGAATCGTCTCGTCGTGAAAGGAGTCGTAAATCCGCCCGAGTATTATAGTCCAGTAAAAATAGGCAAAGTGGGCGTGAAAACACTCCTGGACTAAATTTTGACAGAAATTACATGAGACCCGTGGAAAGCTATGTGTGAATTTCCAGCCTCCCCATTTAATTTGAAATTTATTTCGCCTTTTTCTCAAACAATCAAAATTGAAATGAAAAAAGGGAAATTTTTTGAAAAATCATAACTCGTTGAAAAAAAAATCGAATCGCTCCAAACATTTCATGAGAGCTTAGTCTCATATACTTCTTCAAAGAAAAAAATCGGCAAGACAATCGGCAACATGGCCTTTTTTAAATTTCGGATTTGACATGGAATTGCTCAGTGGGCTTTGTAAAAAAGACAACAGTTTTCAAGTTCTCGGTGATAAAAAATAGCTCATTTTGGTATGCTTTGTATCCGTCAATTTACCAATTATGTCCAAGCCTCTTCTTTCCACTTCCTCTACACATCTCCATACAATTATTGGAACATTCTGAGCTCCAGCCATCGCCAGTGCTGTAGAAACTCCCCCAGGAACTCCACCAGTCTTGTTTTCTCGACTTACCTGGATGAATGAAAAAAGCGAATATTCACGATATTCACACGACTGCTTCGTTAATTTGCGATTTTAGCCAGACCATGTTCGGTCACTTTAGATGGTTACAAGGTATAAATTAATTATTAATTAATCATTTCTAGGTCCCAAATAGAAGATTATCAGATTATAATTTATACCGTACAAACATCTAAGGGGACTGAATATAACCTGGGTAAAAATCGTTGTAAAATTACTCGATTGAGCCCAAACGATATATTTCATAGAATTCCAACTAGACAATCCTGTTTTAATCAAGTCGTTTTGGATGATGAAAATATTTCCAAAATCTTTATTTATTTTTTTTATCGTTATTTTACATCGCTTGGACCCCGTTAGGGTACACCGCGATGATGATCAAGACTTTAAATAGTTAGATCGCACCCGGTCGCAATTCGAACTCTGAACCTTTCGCATGTGAGGCAACGAACTCACCCACTGCGCCAAGCCACAGGGCCCAAAATCTTCATGTTATGTAAAAAAAAAAGACTAAAAATTTGCGGGGTGCGTAATACGGTCTCCAATATAGCTGTACTGAAAATATGCCCTTCAGTAGATATCTGACTGATGCCCGAGTGAGTCGATATTATTGAATATTTTGTTTTTCAATTAATGTTTCCATTCGTACTACCTTTATGGTTTCATAAGTGCCCCTTCGCATCAGCCTTTATGGCTCTCCTATTCTTCTCTTCATATTTTTCCCGTACATCTGCGTTACCATGGACTGCCTTACTCTTTTTTGTCATTCCGACCGTAAGGCAATATTTCGCGGACGCTACTGCCTGTAGCCGTTATGACAGAAAATATTTTACCCAACTGCATCCCATTCAGACTAAGATTGCAAGAGAAACTACGGGGAACCCCAGTCGTACAGCCAGGTGACATTGGGGGGTCTTATTGGACTCGCCAAATACCGTTGAGGGCGCTGTTTTTCGTCAATATAGTTGCTCTAAGGCGCTCATATACGCGCCTACACAAACCCAAAATTTGGTTGTGTGTGTGTGTGAGTGCCCGGGCGCCTTAGATCCTAGGTGGCGTTTTCTTATGAGCCTAATTGTACTCCTGGATGATAGATCACATTGACTCCATGGGTACCGCAGGTCTCTCTATTCGCGTCTGTAGGCAGCAGTTTCACACGAATGGGTAGGGCTAAGCGAACACCCATCCAAGTACTAACCAGACTAAACGCCTGGTTAGTTTGGACAACCGACGGAGTCATACGATACCCGTGTGACTAATACTGTTGCTGTTGTCGATTATTTTACGAGTGGTTTATTGTTTCGTGTGAGTTTCATAGTAGGAACATTCCAGGTCAACTCAGCCACACTGAATTTTTTTATTTCTCAGAATCCTGAATTGGTATGCTCACGGTCAACAACTTCATAAGTACATACGGTCTTTAAATTTTCGGTCCCTTAATATCCATTGTTTGTCTACGACATATGACAAAAGCTGAAATCTTTGAAAAATCATATCTTCTGAATACATTGATAGATGTTGATGAATCAACAATTTATTTTTAGTTTTTTCATGTAATTTGCGAATAAAAATACGACGGTACCATGACGATAAATAATAGCTGATTTTGAGTTTTTTAATTTTTTTAATGTCACCGTTACGTAAGGGTCAGAAGAAAATCAATTGATTTATTTTTTCTTCGATGGACAATAATAACACACAACTTTTTCGGGGTACTTAAAGCAAGCAACTGATGTTGAAGGAGCAAAACTTCAAAGAAAGTATGTACTTCTGAACTACTTGAGAGTAAGCATACCAATTCAGGATTCTCAGAATCAAACAAATTCAGGGTGACTGAGTTGACGTCAAATGTCTCAGTAATGGAAAAGACAAACTAGTTTTGGACAACAAAATTTGATTGAACATAAAAAACTGCAGTTTCGGCTGAGATGGTAAGGCTACATGGCTCCTTTAACTCATCATTTAAGTATGACTCCATCAATTTCGCTCCGGTGGACAAAAAAAACACAATGAATGGAACTTTTTGACTACCAGTTTTCAATTCCAAGAAATAACTCATGAATATCTGTGGAGTGGCATATTTTCACTATTCCAAATTGATTGCGTTCATTATGGTTCAATCCAACTGATCTATCACATCTTTTATACCTTGATAATACCTCCAAACTATCTCGTATTTGTCAGTCATTTCATTGCTGAAATTGAAAATGTGGATAATACTCACCACTGTATCGAGGTCAACACCAAAAAGTGGTGCGACTCTTGTGGCTAAAGAAATAACGGGCAATCCACGTCGTTTGAACGTCTGGTGGGCATCAGTATATCTGAGTCTGAGGTAAATGGTACCCCGTGGTTCGACTTTGAGCGCCAATTGATGAACTGGGGACTCTTTAAGAAGCGTTGCAAGGTGGACAGAACCTTTGTAGCATAGTTTGTGTCGGTGTTGTGGATCCCAAGAGTAAACAAGTAAATCGAGTTGCCGATTCCCCACTAAATCAAGTTCAAATGTCTCATCCCAATCGAACATTAGATCACCAGTACGCACCACTGTTCGTGCTTTGTGGACTCGGTCACACTCGAGTACGCAATATAAATCTCTTAGACCGCAACTACCTGCTCGAACAGATATAAATAGGAGTGGCTTTTTATTGATGCATACATCCAATGCAATCGACCTGACTAAAACCAAAAAGTCGGTTTGAATCAAGTCGGACTGAATCATGCTGGAAATCGAATTATTTCACGTCAGATCGTCAGTATGAATTAAGCTTGATTCGGTGAGATGCAAACCGGCATACTGGTCTGATTCAAATCGATTTTTTGACGTGATTCAGATTGAGATCGATTAGATTCAAGTGGGTTTTTCGGCTTGATTTAAGTCGATTCTTGGGCTTTATTCAAGTCGACTCTACACGGTTATACATGGGTGGGTTATGTATTGGACGGGCTCATATGTAGAGGGTTCATATTTCATCAATGGGGTGAGGTTTTTACCGCCGCCCCATTTTTTTTAATTGAAGAAACTAAAGTTGACGAGTTGACTTGAGTTTTATTACAGCATTTTTTTGTAATTTCTACTTCTCTGTAAGAATCCAACAAAATTTTATTGCCGCAGTTTTTTACAAAAACATTTTTTTTTGTTTCTTTTGGGGGGGATTTCATTATTTTTTTCCAAATATGCAAAGAATCCTTTGCATATCCACTGAATTTTTGCATTTTCAATTCCATTCAACTCATTTGTTTGTCACATGATAGAACATCTTTCGAATTAACCATCAAAGCAAACAGTTCAGATTCATCATTTCCACCAATTTTTGATTATTTATTCCAGATTTTTCGACTTAATTCGTTTCTTCCATTCAATCTTTCTTTAATTTTCTATGGCAGTATCTATTCGCACGCTCCACAGTAAATTTTAATGTGTTTGCGGAAAGTAAAATGAAAGAAATTTTACCCAAACTAGGCTGACCAGATGGTGTGGAGGGCGTTGTGGCCGCTGAGGATGATGTGGTAGAACGTAATCCACGGCCAGCGAGCAAATGGACCCAGAGTAAACCGCTGACGCCATTTGAAAAATCACTACCAGCAGTTTCACCGAGAGAACTCAATAAGGAACTCGATGAGCTTGGTGTCCCGACAGTTGGTGGCTTCTCTATCTTATATTTGAGGAACTCTGAAAAATTCATAACCAAACATCACTCTAAGGCGGTGAGTACTTTAGCAAAAAAATTGTATTATCTAGAAATTTACTAGTACAGTGGTGAAATGGCACATCACGTTTATATTTTCAAATAATGCCAAAATTCGGGAAAAAGAACTTTTACGTAAAACGCCTAAAGAATTTTTTGGTAGCCCACCATTTTTGTCTACGAAACGTTCGCTTCATGATTCTTCCATTGCATCATCTATTAGCACTCATAATACCACAAGAACTTCGAAATTTATCATTATTTTCTGAAAGGTTCGTTGCGTGGAACCATCTGTCTGAAGTTCAGTAGGTGTCGTACCTCATACAATGTTCTATAGCAGAGGCCCTGCAAGAATATTCTCAACTAACTTCGATACCCAATTGGTATCTAGAAATTAGTTTTGTTATTCAAACTCTTGCCTATGGGAGTGGACCATGATACGTTACATGGTAAAACTTTTACGTTTTCAATCATATAATTGATGCAATTAATAGTTGAGGATTGAGGGGTCCCTTAAGTACTCTATACTCGCGAAATATTTCGTGAGCCGTTAGAAAGGCCAAATTTGAATCGCCTGTTGATGGACCCAATAACCGTAGTCTGGTCACCATACATGACCGTGGAACTTTGGTCACGTCCGCGGAAATTCGTCGCAGTGTTATTTTGTCTCTCGAGGTGCCAAATTCACTCGACACTGCTCGAGTACTTTCAGCCAGTTTCCGACAACGTCGCGTAACGGGCGATTTCATTTAACATGCGGAAAGATAAATCTGTTGAAAACTATTTGTTTTCTTTATGAATTTCAAGAATTATATTTTTTGGAAAACTTTGATAATTTTTTACACACTTCAATTGTAAAAGACAATTATTTAATTTTTCCGGCTAGCCAGTCAATGGCAATTCAAAAAACGAAGCGCCGCAGCGTTTCCCCCATAGAGTGACGAATCTAGAGTTAAATGATAATAAAAATTTGAATGAATATGAATTCCAAAAAACCAAAAAATTATAAAAATTATTTGATGATGTCACAAACTTTCAGTTGGACGAATGAAAGTTGGGAAAGTCAACGGCATTTGAAACCATTCCACCACTTCTCTTCGTAATTATTTTTTCACCTATGATGGTATTCCACGACTTTTTCTTCGACTAATTTGATTGAATAGCTTCTAAATTAAGAGATAACTGTCTTCAATTTCAATTGCACTCTCTATCATACATTCACAATGATGCATTACAAAATTAGGATTGTAAATTATCAAATTAACTACTAAAATTCATCATTACCACCGAGCTGAAGAGATTCACCTGCAGGATTAATATCTAGCAGTCTTTGATCCTGAGTTCTCGTTGGCGTTGGTGTGGGTATATTTCTAGTCTGCTCCAACTCTAATAAATTTCTGATTCTCCTCACTGAACTAGCGCGCTGACTAGCTGCAGCGCTTAGTGATGATTTTTGACTAGCTAATGCTGATCTAGCACTGGAAGCAACTGATGCTGGCCTCGGTCCAGGAACTGGCCGATGACCCGTTGAGCTTATTGCCGTGGAAGCACGCAAATTAGCAAGATTAACCTGTTGTGCTGATGCTGATCTCGTTGATAGACGATCGAGAGTACTTGACAGTGGTCGGTACCCACCATAACTCCCATAATCCGCCTAATAAGCAAAAAGGGATGCAATTTAAATTATTTAATTACTGTGCATCAACAATGACGGACTATTCAGAACTGTCAAAAGTATGTGGAAAAAGTGAAAACTGAAAAAGTTTTTTTTTTTAGATTTTCAAAGGGTCAGATTTTCCGTTTTTCCAGGGGCGAGTCGACGTCCGCCAAAATCTAATTTTTTAGCCGGGTGAACGTTGATTACAACTATTTAAGCGACGGGCTATTCAGAACTATCAAAAGTATGTGGAAAAAGTGAAAACTGAAAAAAAAATTTTTTCACCGGGGGCCAAAGTGTCAGATCTTGGATTTTTTCAGGGGGAAGGTCGGTCAAAGAGTCACAACGGTCACGAGGGCCAAAGGGTCAGATCTTGGATTTTTCCAGGGGGAAAGTCAAATTTCGCCAAAATCGAATTTTTTAGCCGGGTGAACGTTGATTCCAACTATTTAAGCGACGGGCTATTCAGAACTCTCAAAAGTATGTGGAAAAAGGGAAAACTAAAAAAGTTTTTTTTTTAGATTTTCAAAGAGTCAGATTTTCCGTTTTTCCAGGGGCGAGTCGACTTCCGCCAAAATCGAATTTTTTAGCCGCGTGAACATTGATCCCAACCACTTCAGCGACGGGCTATCAGCACTCTCTAAAGTGTGTGGAAAAAGGGAAAACTGAAAAAAAATTTTTTTCACCAGGGGCCAAAGTGGCAGATCTTTGGTTTTTCCAAGGGGAAAGTTGACTTTCGCCAAAATCGAACTTTTAAGCCGGGTGAACGTTGATTCCAATATTTTAAGCGACGGGAGAAAGGTCTCAGAAGCCCCAAGACCTATCCAGTTCTGAACGGAAAGAACTAAGTAGAACTTGTCAAGTATTCGACTCGGGCAGGTGTTTGTGCGTCCCGGTCGACGCTGGTCAACGCGAGCCCTTGTGGTGGGATGCAGCGAGACACTACACCGCCACCTCATCGGTAGGTTCACGCTGTTAACGTTCCTCGGATATTAAAAAAAAAACTTTCCTAGGCGTGATTGCCACACATTCTTAGATAGTAATATTGAGGGGGGCGGGGGGAGTACATGACTTTTTTCAAGTACGTGAATATTTTGCAGATGATTTCTTAGATCATTGCGAAGAGAATGTAAAAACATTATTTTATGAAACTTCATTGTCCTATCGTTCCGTATATGAAATCAAAAGGAGAAATTTGGAATGACGTTGAGTCTATAGGAAACGAAACACTGGCTGTTGCTATTAGTACTCACCCGTACTTTGACAGTACCGTATTTGTACGGTAAATACAGTATATCAATTGACTTCATTTCACCGTGCAACCTACCACATATTCCGAAGTTAAATTGAAGGAAAGGTAAATCTGAGGGCGCCGTTGCCCCAATTCATTCGAAGATTGGAGTCGCGCGGAGGTCTTTCCACTATTCTGATATCCAGGTAGCCACAGGTGACAATGCCGTGTAAAACACTTCCATGATTCCATGAATATTTCCACACGATCAGTCGCGTCGCGGCACGCCGCCGTATTTTTCATTTCCAGTTTGAATAAGAGTGAATTCTATCTAATCAGGGGCTTTGACCTTTGTCAGAAATTGCAAAATATGCTTTTAGATAAAATGAGTCAGACAGACAATTTTTTTCATATTTTTTAATGAGTTTTTTTCGGAAGTTATATTAAAAAATGGAATTTCACCGTCGCATTGCCGTGGACGCGAGTAACAAAGGGTTAATGGAATAAATCAACGACAGACGCATACTGCGCGCCCTTCAACATCAAAGAAAAAGCAACTCTCCGGTGTATGCCGCTAGTGATACAGGGCATGGGTGTCATTGAAGAATTCCTGAGAGTGGTCTCAGAGTATTCTACCTTCACCCTCAATCAATACTAGGCTGAGATATTTTTCTTTCAATTTTTTCGGGTTTTTCCAAAAAATGAGTAAAATTCGCAGGCCTTTGAAACCAAGATTCTGTTGACTTTGATTCAAGCACCTGTTTTTTGGAAATTGCTATAAATCAAAGTCGCAGGACTTTGAGTGTATTTACGGGCACAATGCCTTGAGTTAAGCCCCGCGCCCTTGAACGAGGATCAGATATTTCTCAGTGTTCTGAGTTTAGTATGCTTTCATGAGCTACTTTCTGAAACCTTACTTGATTGACAGCTGCATGAATATTTTCTGCGCTGTACGTGTATCTCGGTGGCCTGTTAGTTGTCGCTCTAATTTGCTCGTAAAGCGCACTGGTGCTGGGGGTACGACTCAACCACGCCCGATACTCGTCAGAAGTGAATACACTCGGTGAGGAAGGTATTCTCCCTGAAAATTAGACGTGAATTTGATGGCAGTGGATATTGGAGCAGGGATTCCTCTTGCCCCTCTCCTAGTCTTACAAGTTCCTGGATAGCCCCTTTATCTAGAGCTGCGGGACACCCCCCAAAAAGTGCTCGCAAATCGACCGACCGACCAATCGCGTACTAGTGTCTGTTTTCTTTCTTACTCATGTGCGTAATATTCAGAGATGGTAGAAATGTAATTTTGAGACAATTATAGAGGGTGCAATGGTTCCAATAGTGGTAAATACTGGTAAAAATAGATCGAAATCGATATCCTATGTGCTGAATATTTATTCATCAAGCTGATCAATAATTAGCCAGAAATCTTGACAGAACCGTGCGATTTGGGTGGAAAGGAGCAATACATACTTATTTACTAGTTTTATTATGCGGAAATCAACTGAATCATTTCCAAAAATCTAAAATGAATTCTTCGGAAGTTTGGGCCATGAAAAATTACAGGGACAAATATGTAGGGCATATAATCCATTTCGAGGAATCTTGAATTTTCTTATTCACCATGGAACTTCGATAACCTTAGTTGATATAGGCTTTGCATAATTAATTCGAAAATTTCCAATTCCACTTATGAAATCTCTCTGGAAGATCGCTATGGCTCAATGGTTTTTAATTCACTGATTTTTAAAAATTGATAATCTTCATCTCAAGTTTTTAAATTTACCTCTGTCCCTTCTTATAGAAGGCAATTCGGGTGCCGATAATGCGCCATCGCTGTCCTCCTGATCAATAAGCCCAGAAGCGACAGTAATAAGACCTGCCCTAAGACTGGGCTGCTGCGGCAATGCCCTACCACTTCTCGGAAGTGAATTTGTTCTGAGACCTTGATAAGAAAATCAAAATACTTTCATAATTAGTCTCGAATTAATACAATGAAATTTCTCAATTAAAGAGATTAATTTTCCCCCGCATTAATTATGCAAAGAGTTGATAATTTAAAATGAATAATTCAGGAATTTTACCAGCTGAACTCTGACCAATCTGCGTTCGTGAGAGGGTGGCTAGATGCGATACTGCACTACTCGGTGGCGGATCTCTCATATTCTGTCGGTAGTAGTAGTAAGCCGACCTTGGTGAGCTTGAACATGTTGCTTCGGTGTCCGACGCATAGTCAAGCGATGGACGATGCCGCCTTGTGAGGGTGCCAAATTGACTTTGACCTCTCTGAGCTGTTGATGTACCGTCTGTCTGTGCGCCATATCTGCCACTGTACCTCAAAGCTGAAGAACCTGGAGGATTCAAAATTGAATTGTTGGCTGATTTCTCCAACGACCCATTTCCCGCATCTATTGTTGCATTTGAAATCCGGAAGCTTCTGAGATCTGATATCGTTCGTACAACACTGAAAATAAATGATGTCTACTGCATCGTACAATATTTTTTTGAGATGATGAGACAAGGGTAGATTTCTCTGTGCGGAGTGAACCAACCCTACACAACGGCTTTTCTTTCCTAAACGTCCAAACATTCACTATTAAGGAAAAAAAAGAAAAAATTGTAAAAACATAATACATCTCTTGGAGACACATTCACGTCTGAAAAAATCGTATAGATATTTTCTATACGGATTGCGTATAGAAATTCTATAGGATTTCTGTATATGATATTCGGATATTTCGATATGAATATTTTCTGTACGAATTATTTTTATACATATTATAAATTTTTGTTTTCATACGAAAGATGTTTAAGCGCTCCAGAGAAAAACGTACAGAAATGCCGCAACTATATACGAAATGTTTCTACACATGTGGCAGTGAGTCGTATAGGATCAAACCTATAGAAACCGTATAGAAATAATTTGTATAAAAAGTATCCGTATAAAATATCCGAATATCATATAAGAAAATCCTATAGAAATCCTATACGCAATCCGTATAGAAAATTTCTATACGATTTTTTCATACCTGTTCATCTGTGATAACTATGGAAAATCGATACAAATACAACACGTTCGTCACGGACGACTTTCGATTCAAAAATATACTGCGCTGCTCAGGTCGGGTTTCGAAAAAATTCGAACGTCCCTCTCAAACAGATCATGCCGAAACAAACATCTGAAATCTGTCCTGCACGTTTATTGAAAAAGCTCCGATCGCCGCAAAATATCTGCGAAATAATGGTCCTATTGAAGCAGCGGAAACGGAATTGCTGACGGTATTTTCGAAATAGAAAATTCATAGAATGCATTCTCACTTTCTACCAACCTCAACGTGAGATCTTTATTTATCGTCTCTAGATGGGATATTGATTCACCTGTTTTTAAACTCGATCTCAGAAGTGTGTGGCGCGCAGGGGTTGTGATGCTCGTATAATCTACTCTTGGTAAATGCTGATCTGATCCACTTCTTGGTATAATTCTTCCACTCGATGTGTGCTGGGAATAGCCGTAGCCTTGCGATTGACCTGTGAGACGTGGTCCTACTGACTGCATTCCAGTACCTGCCGACATCCTTCGGCTACCATTTGTCGGCATCACTGGACCCGTGTAGAATGAGTGAACCTATATCATGAGGCTTAATTTAAACATCTCTTTCTCGATCCAAAGAATTCATGAAAAGTTATCTAAGGATTTGTGAGTATTTTCGATGGTATTTTTCCACGAAATTGATTTCCGCTTTAATTTTCGACTGTTGAATCATCTAGGTAGTGTTGAAGATAAGTAGGAAAGTATATTTTCATACGCAATTTTATCTGCCAAGAAACGCCTTTTCGATATTTGTTATTTGCACATGAAATTGCTTACCCGCGAGATTGAAGCTAAACTGGATCGAATCTTTGATATTTAATACACATTTTTTAAATCAACATCGTTCATTTCTTATTATGGAGTACGTACTCTGCGCACGAAAATAGCTTTTAAATATTTCGGATTATTTCAATAGAAACGGAATTACGAGAAAAACTTTGTAATGGAATTTTTTTTTATTTTTAATATTTTTCCGAGTGTTGAACTTTTCGTGAAATTATACCTTACAAATTCCAATTTTACGGGTGTAAATTTACTCAGGAATTGACATGGCAAAGATTAGACACTTCAATGTTGCATTCCTATAAAACGTTACTGTAGTAATGGGGTAATACCGATGTAGTAGGATGATGAACCGAGTATACGTAGACGATTGATTGTTAAATGATTTGAGTAATGGGTAGTCTGTCGCAGCTACACAAGAAAGGAATTCTCTAGCAAAATCCTAGTACTAGTACGAGGAAAATAGCACAATCTTACCGGCTATAAAATACTCTAGGGCTGTTGAGTAAAATTTCTGGTTATTTGGGGAATTTTCCGGAAAATTTTTATATATAATAGGTGGAAAATTAACTTGCTTCCAAATAAAATTTCTAAATAAATGTTAACACTAGAATTTTTACTCGGCCATCAAGTTGCGCCTTTTCTCCAGTGTTAACGCTAGATCTTTTTCAAAGAATTTTTCTCCAAGGGCGAAAATTTTCTGGAAAAGAAGGTTTTTAAAGGTTTTTCCAACCGCTCATCCTCAATTATAATCGCATAATTAATGAAAATTCTTTACTTCAGACAACTCGTTTCAACGAATTTACTATTATTCGATTCCTCAATGTTCATCGTATCACCACCGAAAATACTCATTAGCACAGAGAATGCCACAGAGGATAGAAAACGATGCAGTGAACTCAAATTATGAAATATACATGAAAAAACTTCAATGAAAACTGTTCATTCAAAACGTAAAAAAAAGAGAAAGCATCTGGCTCACATAAAAAATCAGGGTGACACGCCACACAACGGTCGATTAACAATATTTATCGTGATATCATTTTTAAACAAATATTCAAGATTATAAATAACATACGGTTGAACGAGGTCTAGTTATTTTTTATCAAGCATTTTTTTTTAATTTATTGATTTTTTGTTTTTCATTATTTACCTTTGTGAAATCCTGGATAATAAAAATGTAGCATTCATTGAGGACACCGAGAATTAGTTTATTAAATCTCGTTATTTACGTGTAAGCACGAATGTATTCAAATCAGTTGAGATAATTTAAATTTCCAATTAATCAATTCACTTATAAGTCCTCGGGAAACAAGAGGGAATCTTTTTTTTTAATTTCAACAAAAAAGCGATATAAATCCAATCACTTTTGAACAATAGATGAATTCAAATGAAATGGAATGAATTGTTTCAAAAGTTTCACATTTCAATGACTAATTATTAATCAATAAATCAATGGAGAGGCTTTTAACTCACGGTATTAGATAAAACATTCAGCTGTGTGAACTTGGAGTGGCAGTTTGATAAATCGATTTTTTTTCTTATAGTATCGATTGTACTCAGTGAGTACCTAAATGTACCACATTCATTTTCGTTTGTATCCCACATCCCTAGACGTAAGGGGTGCGGGAAAAATCGTGCAGCGTCGAAAATGAAGGTACGGAAAAAATTTTCATGAGCAAAGATTCAGCATGGATAGGACTTCTATGTACTCTATTTTTCCATTTCATTTATCAACCCCTTCAATACTTTACCCGCTTCTAAAATCTTAAATGTATGAAGGACGCCAGGAAAACATACAGATAGCTTCTAAATCGTTAGTACTCGTTTGTACCAACGAAAATTATTCATTATTATTATTATTATTATTATTATTCTCATCAAATCACCTGATTCCATTTTTATCAACCGTAAAATCATCGTAATGGATTCCATATGTAGTTCGTGAAGTTTCGATGTGGGTACAAACGTCTCATCTTCCGTACTTCCACTCCCATCGCAGTACAAATGGAACAATTTACTGTACATGATAATGAGACCAAGTACAAACCATTCAGAGCTTCAAAAACAGTCGTAGATTATTGAGAAAAATGATACAAACGTTTTTCTGAATTTTTCCGAGATAATCGCGAAAAACGAGATCGCCAAAAAAAATTAATTTAATTTATCTTGTATAGGGTGTAGGACGTGGAAAAACGTAATTCTGAGCCATCCTATAGGGAACCCAAAATTGGTTTTAAGGCTCTATCTCTCATAGTTTCCGAGATAATCGCGAAAAACGAAATCGCAAAAAAATTAATTTAATTTACCTTTTATAGGGTGTAGGAAGCGGAAAAACGCAATTCTGAGCCGTCCATCTACCTATAGGAAACCCAAATTTCCTCAGGAATCGAATGGAATAGGTTTTAAGGCTTTATCTCTCATAGTTTCCGAGATAATCGCGAAAACCGAAATGGCCAAAAAAAATAATTTAATTTATCTTGTATAGAGTGTAGGAAGTGGTAAAACGCAATTCTGAGCCGTCCATCTTCCTATAGGGACCCCAAATCGGCTTTTAAGGCTCTATCCCTCATAGTTTCCGAGATAATCGCGAAAAACGAAATGGCCAAAAAAAAAAAATTTAATTTATCTTGTTTAGGGTGTAGGAAGTGCAAAAACGCAATTCTGCGCCGTCCGTCTGCCTACAGGGAACCCAAATTTCCTCAGGAATCGAATGGAATAGGTTTTAAGGCTCTATCTCTCATAGTTTCCGAGATAATCGCAAAAAACGAAATGGCCAAAAAATAATAATTTAATTAATCTTGTATAGAGTGTAGGAAGTGAAAAAACGCAATTCTGCGCCGTCCATCTGCCTATAGGGAACCCAAATTTCCTCAGGAATCGAATGGAATAGGTTTTATTTGCACGATTTTTCCCGCACCCCTTACGTCTAGGGGTGCGGGGTACAACTGAAAATGAATGTAGTACTTTCAGGTACTCACTGAGTACAATCGATACTATAAGAAAAACAATCGATTTATCAAACTTCGACTCCAAGTGCACACAGCTAAAATATTCGTTGAAAAAAATGAGGATAATATTCATGATTATTATTTGATTTAGTCAACTGTGGAAATACAAGTTCTGATTGAATCGATAGATTGGGTGTCACCGTATTGAAACACTGGGAAAACAATGGTGTTGAACGGTGCAGACAGAATTGTTAAAGGGTGCTCTTTATCAACATCGTCTAGGACATCTAGTTGAAGCCAAGCCTGCGATCAATGCATGATTAAACCAACTCCAATTCTAACTATGGATGGATCTTGGGGGGGGGGATACATTGTGGGATTTTGTTAGTGTAAAAAGAAGATGACCACACAGATGAGGTCCAATTAGTTCAGTTTGACATTAATTTACTGAAGGTCTGGGGTCGTCCATAGATTACCTAAGACGATTTTTACCCTCCCCCCTCCCGCACATAACAAATAGTAAGATTTTGGCGACACCCTCCCTCTCTCAAGATCTTACGTAAGATCAGGGCAGGTCGTTCACTGAAAATCAGAGTTTCCTAATAGCACCTAGTAAAGTATTGATGACTCACCTACAGATCGTAAAATAGTATATTTCGATACGATTGCGGGATAGTATATTGTGTTACTAGTGCGTAAAGTTCCACTTTTTCACATGCACGTGTAACACATCCTATTTTTTGTGGTACAGGGAGAGAAATATTCAAGAAAAATTACGGAACATTTCACGTAATCCGCAAGCGAGAATTGTTTTCAATAAATTTCTATAGGAATATAAGAGAATAAATCTGAAACGTTCAGTAAATTTTCGGGTCTGTCACCGAAAAAATACGAAAAAGTCACGTAATTTTTCTGGAAGTTGTAAAATCTAACAGAAACTTCAAGACTTATTATGCCTCAGAACATGAAAATTCTTGGATGTTTAAGAATTTTTACGAAAAGTTCCGGAAAAATTACGGAACGTGTTGTTAAAATCTCCCTCTCACGGTGACTCATGGCTAGCCGTGAGGCGTCGGGCGGATGAGTAATTGTTTCTATACGGAACAGATCGTAGAATTCACGTGACGATTGACACTTTTTATTGAATTTTACTTCACTTCGCTCGAGAAAATTTCCTTTTCTCAATATCTCGAAAACTAGTAGATCAAATGACCTTTTTTGAAACACTTGCTTGGAAAAGTCCCTTTTAGTTTACCGATTTTTGTGCATAAAGTGGCCCTTTTCCTAACTTTTACGATAGTAAACGAACAGTGACGTCATTTCCGGAATTCGCTTTTCGTTTACAACAGCTGACTATCTAGTTACAACTTGGGTTTCGCTCCTATGTCACCATTTGAATGAGAGCGCTGTCGTTACATTTTCGAGCAACCCGGTGTCGTTATTGCGGTAACTATGTGCGTAGCTGAAACCATCGGTTTAATCGTCTCAACTTAATTGCATCAAAATTGATATTTATCGAATCATAATTTTTTTTTAAATAACTCACCTGGGCCAACCTAAAAGTTTAGATTTTGCATAGCGGAAAAAAAATTGATTTGTTAGTAACCATCCGAGGCATGCATGGAATAAAATTAACAACTTTTTAAATTTTTCTTGAAGTTTGAAAAAGTCTTTCGATTTGATCGAAGTAGTATGGAACGTCCCAGAGAGAAGTAGCTGCAGTGACGTCTCGTATTGTTTGTTCAATCAAGGCTGCGACGCTTCTGGAATCGACAGAAACATCGTTTTCCTTCACCCACTTAACAATATCCCCAGTTTTCTTGTCTTCGACCACGTCGAAATCTTACGTAAGATTCTTAAGGACTCCTTCATCCTCCACGTAAAACATCGTAAGAGATAGTTCACCCTCCCCTTGCACCTGACCGTCTTACGAAATTTATGGACAGCCCCTATGTCGTCTATTTAATATCCACGAGACCCAACGCGCGCTACAGCGCGCTGTAATTGTAACAATCATAATTGAAAATCTCAAAATTAAATTAATCATGAATTAAATTTGCCGCCTCAAACGACTGAAACCAATGAGAAATAAGCGTGACAGACTTGCGAGATTTCGATAATTATCGACTTTAAGTGTATGTTCTTTTTAGAATAGGATTATCACGTTTTCGAATAACCGTAATCGCCAAAACTTTATCTTTTTGTTACTTCTTCAAAAATCTGGAAATCGAGCGAATTTAATAGAAAATCTAAAAAGATATTTTTTGATTGAAATTATTTCAGTCGCATAAAAGAGTTTCTAATAGTGTTTGAAATTTCCATATTTACATGGCAAGATATGAAGAATCGATCCTATTACTTTTACCCCTAAATTAGGAATAGATGATGGACATTTCAATCACTACTTGTGAAATAAGAGTTTTTCAGTACAACCATCTGCAACTAATCTCATTACACCTCACATCACCAAGTTTACATTCCCTATTACCCTATAATTTCTCAAAAGGTATTTTTTCCTCAAATTCCACTTTATGCCTTTCAAAGATCAATCATTTCATGATTATAAATCTATACCATTGCGGACTTCACAGATGGAATTTTCAATTTAAAATCCACCTTATGGATCTATTTCACTTGAACAGTTCGTGGGACATCGCGGATGAATGTTTTCGTCACGGAAACCTATTTATTCCATATCACTTCAAGTATTAGAGGAAAGGGCATCGCCTTACTGGATTTTTCCATCGGAAATTTTCCTGGCTATCCAACTCAACTCGTTTCAACCCTCCCACCTCCATTTCAATATTGGAAAGATATCGACGAGAAGTAAGTGAAATGATTCACTGGTTGATTCTCCCCTGATAAAAATTTAATTCTGCATTGATCACGACGTGAGTAATGCGAATTTCATGTTCTTTAGAGTAAAATGAGGTAGTAAATCTGCTTACTTTCTCAGCCAAACTCTCCAATGTCTTTGGATAGCCACGTTCGTAAGGTTGAAAGTGTTGGGTAGACGAGGGTTTTGGCTGATTAGTGATGACGGGTGGAGGTGGAGGCTGGTAAGACCACCCGACTTCCGGTCTTGAGTTGTAGTAGAGATCACCATTACTTGAGCCCAGATCTTGGCTCGAGCCCAAACCGGTAAGACCTAGTCGTGACCGAGATGGCAGCATTTCTCTGCCATCACCTCTCCGTCTATTACTGTCCCTTAATTGAATAGAAGAAAAGAGGAATAAGAATGTGAATCCGTGCTGAAAGGTTCAGAAAATTCAAGATTTTTGCAGCGGAATGAAGGAGAGGAAGGGATTGATCTCTCGTGAGGACATATTTCTCGGGTCTGCAAGACTCGCGTCTGCGTCTATGAGAGAGAAGAATGGCTTAGCGCCAGTAGCCGTACTTTTGAAAGACTGCGTGAGAGCCGCGACAAGACTGTCGAGAGATTGCTACCGAGCGTCTCTCGACGAGAGACTCCGCGTGTCTTACGTATCTCAATCATTAATTAATCTCTGATAACTGTTTCAATTTTATGGTTGAAAAATAATTGATTATATTAATGTAGTTATTCATGAATGCAACAATTATAAAAAAAAGCGGTTCAGCGGTTCTCCAGATGTTTCCTCCCGGTCGGTCCACCGTGTTGCCTTTCAGTAATCCATCCTTTTACTAACCCAACTGGCTACTGCCTAGTTTCAGTGATCGCAGGTTACCCCGGTATATATATAAATTTTTTTTTTATAAAGTTTATCTATTGGCAGTAAAAGTAATTTTTGGTTTTTGGACCTTACAGGTATAAAATAACTCCTTAAAAAAGTATCTTATATGCCATCAAAATTAAATGAGAAATAGTGACAAAGGTGTTCCAAATTCGGACAAATCGCCTATTGAAAAGTTTTATCTTGGCAGTTACCAGTGGTGGAGTGAATGATGCTTGTGTGTAGGTATAAATGTAAAATTCGTTTAGCTACTCAGGGGCTTTGGGTGTGTGTATACTATTTCTGTGGTGGAGAGGAAGTCAATTTACAATTAATATGTTCACATAATAGCAACAAATCCATTAAATTAGCAATTAACATTTTTTTCTATGAAACAGTTGAGAACGCTTAAAAAATTTCAGAAGTTTCAAATTATTTTCCGAATATTAAGATTCTGAAAATAACGAAAAATTTACCTTATATGATTACCCGTTGCGTGATCACTCTCATCCTCATTAAGTTCCCGTTTAATAACGACAACTGGTGGTGCCTTGTGCTCAGTCTGCCGACTGTGTGAAACCGGCTGATGGGAGCCATGTCGTGTAGCCAAAACTAATCGCCTCGGTATTGACATGATAATGACAACATCGTCTAAACTCATGTGCGTCACGTCAACAAGATTTACTGCTAAAATCTCATCCCCCACCTGCCGTAATAAACCAGTAGAAAATGTATCGAAATCAGTGAAATTACTTAATAAAAAAGGATAATGGTCAATAAAAGGATAATCACAATTTTACGACTGCAGACCACTTTGCCTTTTTTGTATCAAAATTATTTGATCTTCTCAGCATAAAAAATCGTAAAAGAATATTGGATTTTTTTCCTCCTCAATTTAAAATGAGTGATGGCATTTTTTCAATTATCCAGTGTTCAAAATGTTAAATTCACTGTTAGAAAATAACTCTAGAAGTTTCAAGTGAAATAGGTTGAAATTTTTCACTTTAACAAAGTTACATGAAATGGTATATTTATTTATTGACGAATCAGTTAATTTTTTGAATATGGCACTAAAAAACCGTAAAAATTTTGAAAATTCAGGCAATAACTTTTCTGAATTCTCAATCTATTGAAAATTGAATTGTATGAGATGTTCAATGTTTACGATGAGTTTGAAAATTCAAACTTTCATTAAAAAATCAATGATTGTTCAACATGAAAAATCCAATTTTCTTGAATTTTCGAGATGAATCAGAAATTAAATGGACGCTTTCATTCGAAATTGAATTCAATCTCACAACATCGAAAATTTACATGAAGCTGTGACTGAAATTTTAAGAATTTTCTAACAGTATATAACCTTCAGACAACCGCTGCTGTATACAGCAGATTCCAGTGCTATTCTTGATATGAATACGCCGTCATTGCGATCAACGCCATTTCCTTCTCGAATGTATAGACCCAGTGTCTGACCGGGCCGCTTTATTATCTCGACAAAGTGAACTGGATGCTTAGAATCCTGTGACATTCAAAGTACGTTAAAGTTATTTATCTGCATTATTATCGTTTTTAATGAGATTTTCATAAGAGCCGTTTCCAAATATCGTCGATGATTTTTCCCGTACGCATTTCGGTCAATTGCAAAGCAGTATTTCGCGTCATGTGATATGTTTCAGGAAGTTTTATATCCGATATTGTACACTGGCCTCTAGACATTACTAGCTATTCCAGAGTAGTTATTCATTTGTTCTCGGTGAACTCATGAAATTGTAACGCGACTTTGAATACTGCATCCTCACAGACCAAAATACGCCCGTGAAAAATAATTTCTCAAATACCCCTCGAGTTTCACAATTGATCGGATATTTCCTTCAAATTTTCGTGAAAACCAACAATTTTGTCATCTATTGCTGGAAGAGTCCGCGCGCTGCTCGCTAGAAATTGTTAACTAGCGAAACTTGACAATATCAGTTTTATCTGCAATGGAGCTACACGGAAAATAAAACCTCGGAAATTTGTGTATCTTCTCACCAACGCATGAGATGTACCAAAGGGGGCCACAAAAAATGGAGAATACTCTGTACAAATTGGATTCTGACAATTATAATTCAGACTACACAGAGCAAATTATTTGGTAAATTTCACCAACTAGTTGTGCATGGAGTGCGAAGCTCCTTGTGAAAATGTTAGCGGATTGGCACCCTTATTTTTGATAATCCGAGAACGCGACTTTGTAGAGCGCCACCTAGTATTTTCTAACTAGTTCCTCCGAATTATAAGTTTGTTGCATTTAGTTATTAGTGAGTAGCCCACAAATTTGTGGAGGGATCTTTTACGAGATTGTCTTCCCTGGTCCTTGCCTGGCCCTTGCAACCCCTTTGCGGCAAACGACGTTAGAAAATAAATTTTTAAAAATTGATAAATTTGTGATCAAGTAGATAAAGTCACAAGTTGGCAGACGGTCAAGAATTATGGAGGTTAAAGAATCCTAAGCAATTAACAAGATTTACCTGTAACGTCATGAACTTCTTGGCAGCCTCCACTGCCTGTCTACCCATTTGTCGGGGCTCAATAACACGCACCACCATTTCACCACGTCTCTCAACGGCCTCGAGGGCAGCGGCTGTCGAGGCGTCATGGTCGTTCTCTACTGTCTCGATCTGCTTGAAGATCTCTGTACTTATCCCGCTTACCTGTGAAATTCGCTTTATTTAATTATGCAGTTTGTATATTATTGATGTGTAGAACAAGATTGTCTATTTTATTGTTAAAAATAACATTAATGAGTTCTCAGGATGAGTAGTGGAACGATGGGTTAGAGTCGACAAACCTCATTCGATTTGTAAAACTTTGTACTGTCTTGGGAATGTACTATAATGCCAATGATAAAAGAAATTATCAGAGGATTTTTCTGTAGGCTCTTTTCTTAGTTAATAAATAAATCTCTAGGCATCTTCGACTAAATTACTCAGATCCGGGATGATAATTCGTTAAACAAAAATAGTATTCATTAGTTCAATCATCGGATTATGTCAGTAATACGAGATATCACTAGAAATTATTCATTTCAGCAATCACTCAGCTATTGCACCACTGTACTGATTGAACTCAATTTTTCCGGAAAAATCGACGAAGAATTTTTTTCTGGGAAAATAAGAGGCAATTATTCTAAAATGTTGTCTACCTTTCTGAAATCCCCTTGGATGACCATGGGAGGTGGCTCCTTGGGGCGTAATTGGTTGGCAGGTGCTTGACGTCCAGGACTTGCACTTATGTCTGTTACTTCTCCCCGACCCTCCTGCGAACGAACAAAACAAAAACTCTCGTTACATTCATTACTTTCAACATTTCAATTAAAACCAATTTGCATAAATGCATGCTTAATGCACCGTAGTGCTAATATAAACCGAAGAAATTTACGAGAGATAAATTTAAATGTGTACATGCGCAGCTGTATTTCGTATGCAGAAGACAATGTAATTATTTATCATTAATTCTGAACCGGAAAAGTGATCCCATATATTTTCTCCCTCTACAAAATTTTTAAAAATAATCATATATTAAAAAATCCACTCAACTGGCAATAGAAGTAATAAACTTGATTATTTTCTTTAGAAAATTGACTCCGCTACTAGAGAAAAATCCTGCCAGGCTTCCTTAATGTCACTAGGTTTCCAAATGATTGTATGATTAACGATAATATTTTCCTTGATATTTCAATTCCCACCCAAACCTAGAACCAAGAAAAATTATACTGAATTCTATACCTAACATAAAGTGATGTCTTCTGCATGATCTCTTTAGTTAATATGTGGATGAAAACGTCGATAATGTTAAGGTATTATTTTTCACCTTTTCGATCTTCGGTTTGAAGTTGTATTGGGAGTTCCACAGACAGGTATTTTATTGGTTTAGTAATTTCTTCCCAGAACCTGAAGAAGCTAAAATATTCAGCGAAACGTCGCAGCTATGCCAAGTTAACGAACGTTGTATTATTTTTCCAATTTTCCCTTGATCCCAACTGAATACCTAATATAGTTTTCATTGTTTTCGTTATAACGAATACCGAAACTCATAAACCTCGGTCAAATATTCCATCAAACCTCCACATAGCCATGGAATGATGGTATGCATACCACTCTTCATTCTGCACAGGAATCGCTACCACCACGCGGCCTCGGCCCTCCACCACTCCTCATACCACCACTAGTATATATCTGTTATCCCCTTACAAGTTCAAAGAAACGTCCCCATCCGGAAGAAAACCATCACAAACCTTAGACAGCGCAAATCATCCCACGAAACTTTACTAGAAATCCGAGAAAAGAGTACAAAACCTTTGTGAACATCAGTGAGAATCAATAGTTTACCTTTCGAGAGAAGAAGCAACCTGATGTAGCTCGTTCGCACATCGTGCTAACTACCCCTCCACATTTTCTAATATGGCGGGAAGCCCTCAAAAAAGAAGAAAAAACACTGCCCCCACGTCTGCCTACCCAACAAATTATTTTCCACTACGAGGTCTTTCTAAATTTCCATATTTTTTTCCTATCGTACCCTAGCATTAAGAGCTGAGAGGCGTCTTCTTACATACTATACATGTGTATATAACCTCACACAATAACTCGAGTACAGGTACTCACTATCGACCGGCTAGTGACGTCATCTTGCACACCACGTTTTCTCTCTCTGCCGTTACCGAATCTACAAACCGTATCGTATACCTTCAACGACCCGGCAAACCGACCCCACTCACTCTACGTTAACCCCCTCTGCCGCGTGGTACGACTCCAACGAGCGGACTGCCCCCCCCCCCTCTTCCCGACAAGAACTCATCGATTGCATTATTAACCCTGTCACGAGTCGGTCATTCAATAGCCATTCCTACAAACGTTGAACTTATGGAGAAAAGAGGTGGATCGATTTTTTTTATGATCAGGAAATTCCACAGGGAAAATTCCACTACTTAAGCATGTATTTCAATAACGGTCGACGCGTGGTTAGAAAGGAGGAATTGTTTTTCTGTCCACTGAATGAATTTGAAAGAGTTCAAATTCTTCAATATGAAAATCTTGGTTTTGTTTCTGATAGAAAAGAATTTCTAATAAAAAATATTTCATATTTTTTTTTTAAATCACACATCATGAAAAAAAACCAAGAGATCCTTTTTGCAGCTAAAAAAAATAAGGGAGAGAAAGAAAGGTAAAACGATCCAAGTAGCTTTTTTCAAAAATTAGATTTCCATTAAAATAGACTGCCAAGATAACCTTAATAAGTTTTTCGGTTCTCCTGAAAAAAGTTACATTTTTCCACTTGAATTATTTCACACCTTCGTCACTGATTTTGTATTCAACAAGATTCGAAAGTCCGAATTATTAGGTTCTTCAGGTTAATATCGAGTGATTTTCCTGCCGAATTCTGTTTGGAGATTATAAAGGGTAGTTGGCATTCGGATCAGAGAGAATTCTCTGTATTCTCCATGATTCAGATGTAGCGTTTGAGTAGTAATGGTAACCGTGATGTCAGACATTGGTGTTCAGAAGTGGAGTCGTAGTAATGGCGTACACGCAAGCGTACACACGGTCGTTTTGGCGGAGTGGGAGAGGGCAGATGATTGTGATGATGGCGCATGAGTAAAGGACCGGGTGAGGTGGCCCTTGAGGATACACTGCCGTAGGCGGATTGCGGGGCATTCATGGATATGAATGGTTTTTTGGCAGGTAATGTATTTCCATGAGAAGTGAAATTATCAGATTATGAAGAATAAAGATCTAACTCTTTTCGAATTTGTGGGATCATTAGAATGGCTCATGTATAAAAAAATGGAATTTCATAAGTTTCTTGTTTAATAAAGATAACCCGGCCAATTGAATACCGAGAAAAATGTGAAAGAAAATTGATAGATTTTCGAGTAAAGGTATTCGGCTCATCCTGCATTTTTACAATGTTTGTAAACACAGAAATTGGGCCTATGCAAAAATAATTGCCGGCCAAACTAACTTGCACTGGGAAGGGACTGAACTCGTATTAAGCTCAGCACTTAATAGCATATATTCACATTTTACATGCAAATCCTTCAATTATTCATAGTTTTTTTTTGTGAAATTTACATAGTTGAATCGATGAGTTCACAGAAATGTAAAAAAAAATCGAATCATCAGAATCACTCAATTAGAACTATTATCATATTTTTGCCTTCTTCAGTACAAGATTGGTGTCTTTTACTAGGCATCATTATTCATGTTCTTAAAATCGAGTCTTCTAAATCAATGGGAATCGTTATATATGATTTCGCAGAGTATTTCCAACTGTAAAAATCATGTATTTTAAGTACGCTTCAGTAACATTTTACCGGAGTTATTAGACATTTTTCAATTTCTCAACGCTTCAATGCGATCTCCCACTCTGAAATTCACATTTTCTCTTCACCAATCCCTTTAAAAAAAAAATGTAATGTTTATTGTCACCGTTTTTCTCGGCATAACTTAGCTTATTATATAAAGAACTTAATTTTATATATAAAGGAGAAGCCCGTTTTCACCTGACTTAGGTATTAACGCTCAGGCCGAACTACTAGAGCTACGTGGATGAGTTTATGCGCCCACTAAGGAAGGGTTTTTGGAAATTCATCCTCTAAGGGAGTGAAAAAGGGGCGAATATTTGTATGCAATTTCGAACACTTCGTCCTCGTGTGACATATTGATGAAAACATCTGCAAAAAAACCATCGGTTGGATTCGTTTTCTCGCCAAAATTGTACCACTATGAGGAGTTGTGTATGAGATATAAAAAAGCACGCTGGAAACTCTGCAAAGCTATCAAGGGCAGTAAAAAAAGGCGATCCGTGGGGTAGACCATAGAAGGTAGTGATGTCGAGACTTAAAAGTCAATCAGTGCCATCTCCAATGCTATTGCCCTGTGCTATTAAAAAAAAATGTCACGGTGTTGTTCCCGCAACAACCGGAGCTTCATCGCACAGGCGAACAAGGGGAAGAGATGGTGGTTCCACCAATCATCAAGGAAGAGTTGATGGAAGCTTGTAATAGAGTGGGTAACACCAAGGTCCCTGGTCTAGATGGAATCCCCAATATCGCGCTGAAGTCAGCTATCCATGCGATGCCGAAGCTTTTCGTGAACGTATACAACGAGTGTCTAAGGGAGGGCACCTTCCCTGTCATGTGGAAGTAGCAGAGACTAGTACTATTCCCGAAAGGGAAAAAAACCACCGGACGTGTACCTCAAGGCTCAGTATTTGCTCCCTTGTTGTGGAACATCATGTATGACGGGCTGCTGAAGTTGGAATTACAGCGGGAGACTAAACTCGTGGCTTTTGCAGATGACATGGCTGTAGTCAGCGTGGGAAATATCTGGAGGAGATCAAACTCACCCACATGACCTTCGAGACGATCAGCCATTCGATGAACACAGTAGGCCTGAAGCTGACGGAGCATAAGACAAAGGCTGTGCTGATCACTAGTAGGAAGAAAACTAAGACAATCACGCTACAGATCGGGTCTTGCGGAATCACTTCACAGCCGTTCATACGATACCTGAGGGTGATGATCGACGCCCGACTAAACTTCAAGCAGCAAACTGAGTACTTGGGTACCAAGACGTCTGGAGTCAGATTCACTTTATCACGCCTTATGCCCAACATAGGAGGACTTAAGCAGAGAAGACGAGCATCATCTGGGGTGATCACCCGGAGTCACGGCGGAAGGTTGCACCGGTCTGTCGACTGAGTGGTCTGCGAGTTGCGAATGCATACCGTACGGTGTCCGAGGATGCTGTGTGCGTTATTGCTGGAATGCTTTCTATAGAAGTATTAGGCGAAGAGCGAATGTCTCTGTATCGGCGAAGGAAATTGGAAACACTGGGCGCAGAAGAACTCAGCGCAGAGGAGAGGCGTGTGAGCTTACAACGATGGTAGCTGGAGTGGGGCACCTCTACCAAAGGGAGATGGACTCACCGTCTGATTCTACAGGTGGATGTCTGGCTAAATCACAACCATGGAGAAGTCAATTACTCTCTGACACAGATGCTTTCGGGACATGGGTGTTTCCGGGCGTATCTTCACAAATTCAAACATGAGCATTCTCCGTAGTGCCCGATCTGTATAAAAGCCGACGAAGACACGGAGCACGTATTCTCCATATGTTCCCGCTTTAGTGAGATCCGGAATACTTGGGAGTCTGCCCTGGGAAGGAAGGTATTGCCTGGGAACTTGGAGGAAGCAATGCTGTCATCGCATGCAGTCTGGGGCGTAAAAAGCAATTTCGCGGCAGAACTCATGAAGGAGCTCAGAAGGACGCAAGAGCAAAGCTGCAGAATGAACGAGGAACCTATTGCAAGCTCCTGCTTACACCCAACATCTTACTAGGGCAGGGGGACGTACATGAGACAAAACAATGTTGATGAGCAAATAGTAATAATTAACGGTGGTCCTGCGAGGGAATCAAAGGTTAGAAGAATTTCAAGGTGAGGTTTTTAGCCGGGGCAGGTCCGGCACAGGGTATGATAAAAGTCCACTATTGTGCGTTAGGCATTCTTTCCAAAACCCTCAGAAAAAAATGCACACACACATATCCCCCTCAAAAAACGTCGTAGAATGATTCTAGGGGTCATGAAACGTGGAGACATAATAAAATATCCACATTCGAATTTCCCTTAAGCTATCCCTCCTACACTCACTTCGTTACCCCCACTATGATCACAGGGGACTCCTATAATTGAAAGGAATGTAAACTTTATAACTCTTCCTAATTAGTTTTATTGCAGTAGTTGTGAGCTACCCGGACATGGCCCATCCCTGCCTTAGAAAGCTATAATGTCCATCGACTGTTATTCATACAAACAGTGTAGACTCAATCGCCCGAAAAGAAACAAAAGCCAAAGCATCAAGTAACTTATGATATCATATTTCTCGCTGGAAATATTATATTTAGAGAAGAATTTCAAAAATACTTTTTCATTTGAAAATTGCTTATTTTAAGTTTTCTTATTGTCTTTTCAGCCTAGACCTGTGAACAGTGTTACAGGAAATTCTCTTAAAACTCATTTATCTACGTAAGAGTCCTCTTGACATTATTATTTGAACAGAGTATTTTCCAAGAAAAAGGAACAGGAAAAATTAAAATTGAATCAGAAAAAAGGAGTTTCAACTTATTTTCGGTGAAGCAGTTGGACACAACTACAAATTAAGATGAATGATTACTTACTTTTCTTCGGCCACAGCAGAGCATGATTGTCGGGCTGTCGGTGCGAGGCTGAGGTTGATGACAGACGTAGCTCAGCCGGCCACCCCTTTCCCCGTGCAGCTGCACAACGCGCACCTGCAGCTGGCCCTGCTCGGTTTGTCCTTGACCGACACCAACTCGACCACCGTACTTGATGCGCACGTGTTTTCGCCACTGCATTAGTTCGGTCCGTCATGCCCACTGCCTTTAATAAATTAATCATCAATCACTGAAGATCCACTGACAAATTGTTGATTAATACCAACAGGAAGGCTCCAAACTATGTTCCAATTCAATCTTTCAACTTGAACAGGCAATGGCTTGGGAAACGATTGGAGGCATTGGAAAGTCAGAGTAATAAAAAAAGTGCTGATTCAATTCGACGTCGACTTGATTCTAATCGATTTCCGGCTTGATTCAAATCGAGTGACTCGGATTACGCCAATCCGGATTCCGGGTTTGATATAAGTTGAAAAGTGGTTTATTTCACGTATCAACATCATGTCAAGCCGACATCAGTCTGAATCAAATCGAAAAATCGGCGTGAATCAAACCGAAAAAACGGAGTGATTAACGTCGAAATTTTTGCCTGTTTCAGGTATAGTAAATAGCAACTTGATTCAAGTCGATTTTTCGGTCTGATTCAAGCCAATATTTCGGTCTGATGCAAATCGATTTTTCGCTTTGATTCAAGCCAATTTCGGACTGTGGGACTTCGGCAATGGGGTTTTACATAACGGGATCTTTGTGTGGGACAGGGTGCATGGGAGCGGGGGGAGGAGGTTGTACTGAATTCTCGATGTACAGTCCTTCCGTAGTTAAATTAGCTCGTCGATGAGTTTTTCGAGGATATCTCTGAAACTAAACGAGATAGCGAATTTTTACTGAAAAATTAGGGGGGAGGGGAGGTTGTGCATTTAGAATTTGCAACCAAACAAATTGGGAACCCCCCTTTCCATACTATTAGTCCTGAAAATTCTAAGTCCCTATTTTCAATGAAAGACTCCAGCCTCTACCGTGTTGGCGAAGATTCAGAGCGATTCAACTCTCACCAACGAGTCTCCGAGACGCGAAATCGGTTACAGAAGATCCAGGCAGACTGATTTTAGTCTCTCAGTCTTGGAGAGATCCGATACACTGAAAATTTTTATCGGGAACCTTCCATTCGGAAGCAATAATCAGTTACAATACCATAAGAGCTCCAAAATGATCGGCTATTTCCCGATAGCTTCGTTGCAAATAAATGAGTGTGTCAAGTTTTGCAGGTTAAAAAATCCCGAGCGCTTACGCGGGGGATTTTTCACGCGAAACTTGATACGCTCGTTTGTATCCAGGGAAGCTTGAAGGAAATACCCGATTCTTTTTGAAGCTCTACTGGTATTTGGCGGACTATTTCCTTCTGCAGAATTTCAACCAAACGGATTGTTTGCGAATATTTTCTTCGTTGCCATGGATAATAGGCTATAATCGAAAATTATCGAAATAACACCATGTTACTCCCGAATGCAATGATTCTAGTCGTCGAAATTCTGAACAAGGAAATAGTCATAGAAATTGAAGAAAAATCCTGCAATGCTCAATCAATTTTTCCGAGCTAGTGCAGTCATTATTCTACAATTTTTTACTCGGTGCACTTGACTTATACTCCTAGGTATACGAAAGTCATGGAAACATATGCCTGACTTAGGCATCCCTTTTCTACTCTTGAAACATTGATGAGCACTCACTGAATTAGTTCCTTCAATCATATAAATGATTCTGCTGAGGTTCAATTAAATTTCCATTAGTCCTATTCATATGACACCAGTGTACTACATTCCCACCTTTTTTTTCTTTTCAATTTTCTCATTCTCTTTTAATTCTTATCTCTTTTGTTCTCCGATTGCGCGTTAAAAAAACTCGAACAAAGAACCCTCCCTCATCACGAATTGCTCGTCCGGAATGTCTGCCAAAAAAAAGGAAAAGGTAAGAAACGAACGACTAAAAAATGTATTCCATACTTTGTTTTTCTTCTTTTCCATTGAAAATCGCGAACACGTTATAATTAAAACATGTATGCACTGTTAAAATGAAATTGGGTTTTTCGGTCAATCTCTGATAGTAAGTTCCATGAGACCATGAAAGTAATATCGAATTTGATTTAAGGAAAAAATGGTTGTGGAATTTCAGGTTTTAGGTTGAATTCAAGGGAATTCGTAAGGTTTGTGTACATCTAAAACAAAAATTTTACAACTTACTTAAATTTTCAATTGAACAGGAAGATTTCGAGCCAGAATAACTAGAATTTTCACCTAAATTTTTCTAAATCCTCTGAATTCTCATGGAATAATTGACATTCTATTTACAGTTTTCATTGATTTTCTAATAATTTCATGAAAAAATGAATGAAATAATTGACTTTTTAATGATGCAACTCCCTTAAATTTTAGTAGGAATTTCACTTGATAAAAATTTTCGGGATTCGTCAAGGACCCGATCAGAAATGTTGTTGGGGTACTCCAATGCATCATTTTTCTTCTAATCCAAGTGGCTTTATCCCCTCAGTGTGGTATGGGTAAGTGCCAAGAATAACCCTGATTTCGTGTACAAAAGTGACGAAAAGAATCCAGTCGAAAAATTCAAGTGAGAAAGAATAAACCGGACTGGGACCTTGTCAGGTCATCGTCGGATTCTCCTGATACGTTATGAAATATATCAAGCTATGAAAAATATCAAGCTTGATGGGGTATGTTAGACGATGGCATGAGCGGTTGTTTGTCAGGTACTCTACGGTCGGGGGGACCTCTAATTCTCAAACTCCCATTCGATGTAAAAGAAGCGTTCAATACATGGAAGTAAGCTATGAATTTGACACGGTTTTGAATTATTTATCATCGAATCACGAAACGTATTTTATAAAAAAAATTTCCAAAAATAGTCTTCGTCTTTTTTTAGATTTTCTAAATGTTTCGTAACGGTTTAAAAAAGATCAAATTTAAACCTTTAGAGTTCAAATAATAAAATCCTTGCAAAATTTTCGAAGACTTAAGATCGCGTGGAGTTAAATGGAAGCTTCCATATTTAATTTAATGTGAAGAAAAGGATTTCCGCAGGAAAAACGGCTAAAGGATTTGCACATCCTTAGAAATCATCGGAACCACCGGATGAATCAGTGATCAATTGAGAATGGTGGGCATGATTATCAATAACACCGCAGTTCATTATTATGAAGATATGTATGAAATGCAGGGCGGATTGCTTATACGGAAGAAATTGAAATAATGTTGTCAGAAATGGTGTGATAGCCGAGTGGAAGAGTGTACGAAAATAAACAAATCACGGGTCCGAATACCGGATACGGGAATCATTTCTTTTTCTTAATTTGACTTCCCATGCTACTTTTGATATTTCGTTATTGTTTTATTGTAGGTTTATAGCGTTTCGCGGTTAAATTTTTATTAACGTTTTTCAATCTTTTCAAACTATGAAAAAGGTCATCGAGTTTTCAGCGAGGGTCCTCGATAATCTCTTTATGAGGGAGGCTACGTGATGTTGCAGTAAGGACCCAATCAGGTTCATTGCATAAGGACCCTGGCGTTCCCATCGGACGTATCCTGTCGGGACCTAACTTGAATCCGATGAAATTTCTACTCAGGGAAAAATCAGAAAACAAAATCAACCGTGTGGTATCTCTTTTATTACACTTGGTTTTCTAGATTATTTCATGAATAGCTTCGCAATCCAGAGATTTCGACATCTATCATAAGATTTGTTACTAATAACAGGTCTATTCTCATTTTTCTCGGAACCCTTGTGGGGGTTCGATATATATCTGTAATTCTAGAGATATATTATGAAAAACAAAAAAATGAGTTGTGAATGGTCATTAGATTATTCTTCAAGTACGCCTGAATCTAGTAGTTTTAACAAAATATCGCGCCTGTTCTATACTCCAGAGCATTTTTCCAGGTTTTCTTATCTGCAATATCCAGTGGCAGGAATTTCATTATTTGATGGGAGTGTATCAACTGTTTCAGTATATTGATGAACAATAATTGTAAACTGAATCGTCAAAAAACTTGTCTTGTGCAGATTTTATTTATTTACAAGCGAAGTTATTTCACATTTCCTAGACTCACTAATTACAGTGATAATCCATATGATTTTCCGCCGTATGATTAAGAATTTTTACTTAAATCTCAAAGCGCTATTCCTTCATCAGCTTTCTATCGTTTAATATACCTTCTAAAAACCATCTCTCCTGGAAAGGTCCCCGCTCGAAGCCTCACACCATTCTATATTCTCATTCTCGAGAATAGTAGAAACTGTCCCACTTGTCTGTAACAAATCAAGACGAAAATCATAAATGAGCAACTGTCGCAATTACGAGCAGGAATGAATGGACGAAGAAAATATCAATGAGATAATTACAACTTTACCTGCAGTTAATCGCAAATGGATAAAGTACGTTCAACGTCTTGAACGGAAATTATCATTTCTATCCTCTATCTATCCCTATCTATGCGTTCGAATGCATCCGAGTATTATTATTATTGTTTATTTTCAATAGTCATTGACATTTGAATGCATCAACCTATAGGGCCCCGTGTGTGTTCCCACCTTTGTTCCAAATTTAGTGATCCCGCGGCCACTGTTTTTGAACAGATTCACGATCTGTTTGTTCCATGTGATCTCACTCCTTTTTTATACGTTTATTGAATAATTTATTTAAGCACGTTAATTCGATTTGAAGTTATCTGTTTGAATTGTTGGTTTCTTTTAAATCGTAAAGAAAATATTACGGAAATAATATTTCGGGTACTGTACTAATAAACTGCACCGACATTGTCGCGTCGCTGAATCCGTGTACACACGTGCTTGCCTTTAGCGTTCGTGAGTGTCCGCAGATCACTATGCCCACTACGCACGCTCCACATGCTCGTATCTTCGTAAATGATTGTCAATTTTATTTCATAAAATCGGAGACAATCCTAAACTAAATAAAGAGACGATAGAAATTTTTTATGGAAAAAAAATAGATTTGAGATACGTGGTAGCGTATCGCCATTGTTAAACTTGCTCATACCAAAGTTAGGGACAGACTCATGACAGAAAAGGCAAAGTTGAAAGGATCTTCGCTGAGCAACATATACATTAAACGTGTTCCAATCGACACTGGATATAATTCTACTTCGATACAA